CCAAACGAAGAATGATAGAAAGCAGTGAACACTGAACACACAGAGTCTCTCTCTCTCTCTCTCTCTCTCTCTCTCTCTCTCTCTCTCTCTCTCTCCGTCGTGTCTCACGGATTCCCCCCCCAGCTGCTGATGTGGCAGTGATGTCCCTCGTGCCTGTCTTTGCTCCCCCAGTCTGCGCAACAGAGAACGAGCTTGCGCCCGTCGATCAATAGGCGGCAAATGTGCCGCTGGGGTGCAATGACCATCCGGGACAGGTCCAGTCCTCATCCTCACGCGACGACCTTCGCCGTCATCTCCATCCGCCGTACAGATCCTCGGGACGTAATCGGAGTCATCAGGATCGTCGGCGCCTGTGGTCTCACCGCCCTCAGCGGCTGTGGAGCTGTCGTCGTGGAGGATGATCGTGCCGCCTCGTCTCTTCTCACCTCGACATGCTTCGTCCACTCTGTCACCTCCCTCCGCCCCCCCCTGTCCATCTGCGGCAGCTGACATCTGTTTGGTCTCGTCCCTGTTGCGGAAAAAAGGATGCAGGCGGCGCCGGTGATACGGAATCGACACACCTGTTCCCTTCTTCCTCGCCCGTGACAGCCTCGCAGTTGTCGTCCTGGTGTCATTGACATCGCTCGTCTTGGACCGTATAGGCCTCCCATGCTGCTCCTCGTAAGCTCTCATGGAATCATGACAAGTGCCATCAACATTGCCGATCGATCGCGCCTCCGAGGGCACATCTGCCGGTCCATATGCTGATGTCTGTCCGATATCACCCGCCCTCCGGTCCATGCCCGCACCGTCGTAGAAAGACCTCGTAGGCAATGCGCTCGGCGCGGCCTGCCCGTGGGTGGCAGGATCAGCGGCAGAGGGGCGTGAGGGTGGTGGACACATAATGTCACGCATCCCCGTCAAATGTGGTCGAGGCTCATCTGTGTGCCCGTCTCCAACGTCATGTGTGCTGGGCCTGACAATGCTGGGGTGTGCGGTCGATGACCCTCTGCGCTCGATGCCCCCCCTGAAGGACCGTCCACCATCTGCGCTCCCTGGCTGCGCTGTATCCTCGCTCACGCTCTCGCCTGCGTCCGAGCGGATAACTCCGGGAGGCCTCGCCTCTAAAGTCTCCGCTGGCCCTCGATGTGGCTCTTGCTGCGGGCCCTCCTCTGGTGGATGGACTGATGACACGCCGTCCGATAACAGCTGCGAACCATGACCCCCCTGCGCCAAAAAATCTCTAGACACTGCCTCTAGTGAACCTTCCAGACTACGTTGAGCTGCGACGTGCGGTCCACCACGACGGTTCCGTGCTACCTCCTCCGCCAACCCCTGCTCCACTGCCCACGGTGCACCGACATGAAAAATGGCAGGAGTGCCGGACTCTAGAGGATGCAGTATCATGTCGCCGTCGAACTCGTCGAATCCTCTGTCACGACCCGCGTCATCTCGTCTAGCAGGCTCCGGTGGTGCCACAACCGGCAAAGTAGGAGATATCAGTAGCGATATATCGGGCAGAGATGCCAAGGCGGAATCCATGGTGAATAGCTCGTCGGTGGGCGGAAGACTGTCGGGCGGGCAGTCGAGGCCGACGTGGTGGTCTGTCGGAGGACGTTCGTCCTCCCCRTCCTTTCCACAAGTGGGAGTGGGTGCAACCTCTCCCTCCTCTAGACCGCCGTCACTCGTGTGAGGAGGCGGCTCACGTCGTGCCTCGCCGTCCTCCAAACCCGCTCCTGTGGAGTGGACTGGGGCGCCTGCTGGAGTGCACCGAGTCTGCGCCTGGCGGAGTGGACCGGGTCCTCTGAACTCCGTCTCCTCCTCTGTGCCAACAACCGGCGCTGGCGACCGGGGATGAGTGATCTTGAACCCTGTATCCTCCTCCATCACTATCACATCAGTGTTCGAGGCTAGCTCCTCTGCATGAACTGGGTCGCGCTGCGTCTCGTTGGAAGGATCTCCCATCTCGTCCTCTGACACGGCAACCGGGTCCTGCCGCATGTCACGTGCCCCCGTGTCGATC